AGGGAGGGAGGGAGGGAGGCTCAATTTTGCAGCTGTATAAAACTAGAAAAAAATACTTCTTGCTTTGTGATAGTTCTTCAAGCATGATCTATCTAGATCCCTCCACAACACTCTGTATTTATATTTTAAATGACTGATACTATAGCTTTTTTAAAAAAAACAACACACACACAGACATTCTCATATATTATATGTTATTTTATTTATGTCTAAAGTCACCTGAAGTGACTTAAAGTTTGTCTGGTACTTCCTACCATCCAACAAATTATAGTAGGTGCATGAAATATTATTTTTATGTTTAAATGGATCAAGCATAATGCAGAACAGGCCCGTGGTCTTCCTCTACTGTCTTGCAATCTAGATTGAATACAGACTGAATATCTTACCAAGGAAAGGGGGTTGGGGGCGGGTGGGGGAAGGATAGGGGAGGAAAATGGAAGTGAATCAAAATGAATCCTGGTGCCAACTGTAAAAGTTTAGCTTGTTGTTTGTTGGGGGGGGGGGTTGAGTGCCTTTGGAGGTTTGTGAATTATCCCTATAATAGTAGAAGTGGGAATGAGAGTTCCCTACTCATTTGGAAGAAAAACAGCTTACCCCAGAATAAGGATGGCAAAATAAGTAATTGTAAAATAATTACGTATATAGATACGTTTCTCCCAATATTGGTGCATAAATCCTTCGAGGACTTCCTGATTATGAGATATGCGCTTTTAAGCCCTGAACAAGGGAACCTTTTCTATTAAACTAGGAAAAGGCATAGCTCTTGTGCTGAAAGTTGTCTTATTAATTTTTCTTCTGTGTTTCTATTATTTTTAGACTCACTTTGCATGAATGATGGCCCCAAGTGCCTGTCCAATTCCTGCCAAAAGGACTCCGAGGGCCATGCTGCTGCCACGGCCACTGGTTGCCACTGCCTGGACTCATCGGCGGACAGTTCTGCAGAAGACTGTGTTGAGGAAACCGATGATCCTTGCTCTTCTGCCCCTTGCCTTCACAATGCTACTTGTGCAAACGCTCCTGGAAACCTCAACTTTACTTGCGATTGTCCCACGGGGTACACTGGCACTGTCTGTGAAACCGCCACTAGTTTGTGTGACTCGTATTTCTGTAGGCATGGAGGCACCTGCCAGGATGAACCTGGTGGCTTCACTTGCCTCTGTGCTGAAGGATTCACGGGTAGACGCTGTGAAACTGACCTTGACGGATGCCTTTCCAGCCCTTGCCTCAACGGAGCTTTGTGCAGAGGGAGGATCGGGGGATACTCCTGCTACTGTGTCCCAGGTTACCAAGGGAAATATTGTGAACGGGAGGTGGACGAATGCGCTTCTGAACCTTGCCTGAATGGAGCCTCTTGTTTGAACCTGATAGGGAAGTACGAGTGCATTTGTCCTCTTGAGTACACAGGTAAGAACTCAAAAAATTAATATACACACAACCTATATTTTGCAGCCCCCCACCCTCCACAAGGCACATTCCAGACAGTTATTCAAGTTCTCTTGTCTTGGCAAACCTATGCAAATGGTATGAACAGGCACTGTAATTTGGAAGTGGGTATGTCAGCATGCTGTGGAATACATAGCAATAGCACTTAGATTTATATACCGCTTCGTAGTGCTTTTACAGCCCTCTCTAAGCAGTTTACAGAGTCAGCCCCCAACAATCTGGGTCCTCATTTTACCCACCTCAGAAGGATGGAAGGCCGAGTCAACCTTGAACTGCCGAACTGCAGCTAGCAGTCAGCTGAAGTAGCCTGCAGTGCTGCACTCTAACCACTGAACCACCTCCGCTACGGAGAGAAAAGATTCTCCTGTTTGATGTTGAATTGCATCAGTGGTGATGTCACCTAAG